ATAAAGCTAAAACTGAGGTAAATAGTGTAAAGAATATTGCGTTCTTTCCATCCGAGTGAGGAATGACTTTCTCGAAAGTCAGCATTACAAATGTTGGAGAGGATTCAAGTGAATTCTTTGAGCACTCGCTTTGACAGGAAAATGCACAATTTTTTCATAACCACAAAAATGTTTATAAATTCTTCATTAAGTGTAAAAGTTTAACAACCTTAGCTACACCACATTATTACAATGAGCACATCTGCCTCGGTCGCTATAGGAGAAAAACTGTTATTTTCATGGTCATCATTGACGTGGTTAAGCATGGCCGTAAAATTATTGTGTATATGTGTCTATGCGCACGTTGGTACCAACCCAAACAGACACAGAAACAGATTCCACCACCACAAACATAGGCAAACAAGCATAAAGAGATCCAATTTAAAAAAAAAATAAACCACTTTGTCTGATGATCGCAAAAGCGTGAAACCCAGGGTCACAAACTCATATCCATAGAACTTATTATGTTAGCTTTATCACTGATACTGAGCACTTTCCACTAAGTAATGAGCATATAATATAATATAGTATATATATATATATATATATATATATATATATATATATATATATATATATATATATATATATATATATATATATATATATATATAAAAGCAACATTTATACCATTGAATTGATAGATACCAAAATATAGCCAATAAGACTTTCTTCTCACATATATATATATATATATATGAAAAAATATATTTTTAAGGTGTGCTATATTTATGGGATAAAGTGCTCAATATCAGAGGTAGAGCATATGCACATATAAATATAAAGGTGAGCATTGAAGTCAACACTCAGAAGCGACAGGCTGTTTCATGCTGGACGCAATCATCAGGCCGCTGTAATAAAGGGTGGCTAAAAACTTATCATAGCCCACTGTACGGCAGATAAACTTTGCATCCGTAACTGGGTTGATTGATTTTCATTCATGGACTTGTCATTTTACGGCTTATCAACCTTTTTTAGTTTATTTACAGCCGAAATATATTTTTCGATTGCAAGAATTTTTAGAGATAATAATTATTTACTGATACAAATCTTACTATTTAGCCCATAGCTTCGAGGAGAAAAGTTGGATTCTTACCTTTCGCAAGGGTATTTTCACAGGCCGCCTGACGATTGCGTCCAGCATGAAACAGCCTGTCGCCTCTGAGTGTTGACTTCAATATATATATACATATAATTATAGATAACTAGACTCGTTTCGAAAAACCCTCGAATTTTTGATTTGCTAATAATCAAATCAATCTCGAGGGGAAAAAAGGTTTTAAAAAAAGAAAGAGCTACAAACATGGACTTCTGCCGACAAAAAAATCGCACAGATGCAGGTCTGAAGCCCAAAGAAAAAACCCCGATACGAGTAAACAACTAACTAACAAAAGCGCTCAATACAACCGTAGAGCAGACCTAGATACACCTAGTGAGCCAGACAAACCTACCTAGGTTTCACCTAAACGGATCGTTAGGGAAAGTAAGGCTAACGAGGCAAAGAGAAATGCATATTTATAGGCGATAACTAAAATTATCTGGCTCACTAGGTGTATCTATCTATCTATCTATCTATCTATCTATCTATCTATATATATATATATATATATATATATATATATATATATATATATATATATAGAGAGAGAGAGAGAGAGAGAGGTGTATCAAAAATAATTTTACAAACTTTGAGGGTGGGTTCTTCACATCAAAACAAGGAGAAATGTCCATATAAACACCCGGCACATCTTACAGGGGCTGTTTACTGGGACCTTATTTCGAACACACTTCCAGAGCGGTTAGAGGATGTACGCCTGCTAATGCAAAGACACATATGGTTCATGGATGATGGGCCTCCAGTACACTTTAGTCACATTGTTCGCCATGAAATGGCTGACATCTACCATGAAAGATGGATAGACAGGAGAGGATGGGTTCCATGTCCTGCACGTTCCTCTTATCTCAGTCATTTGGATTTTTATCTGTGGAGTCACCTAAAATAATTGGTTTATGCAAGGGACATTAATAATGCAAAGACGCTTTATCAACGTTTCATGGGGATCTGCGAAACCATTTGACACCGTTTGCGGGTATTTCAAATGGTCTGAATGGTCAGTGATTGATCCTACGGGTGCATGCTCGTGTAGAAGCAAGCAGAGGACATTTTGGACATTTGTTACGAGTCGCTGTGTGTTGGAATTTTGGACATATGCTTATATGGACGCTTAGCTTGTAATGAACCCGCCTCCAAATTTTGTAAAGGCATTTTTGATAAATCCTGTATAATTCTTCTATAGGTTATATTATAACACATATATCGTCATATGCGCAGAAAAACTTCTACAGGTTACAATATATATATAAATATATATTTATTGAAGACATTTTTATGTTTAACGTTCTTTTTTATAGATACAAGTATTTAAGTAAATGCTCTGTTTATAATAAACAGTATTAAATAACATTTACCGGCCTGAATGTCCGAGAAATTTTCATAGAAAATATTCGTACTTTGACAGGATTCGAACCTGCATCCTATACGGAACCGTCATTTACGCTGACGTGCCATAACCGTCTCGGCCACAAAGGAGCGTTCGGTAGGCAAGGTCAAATTTACTGTCAAAGGACGAATATTTTCTATGAAAATTTCTCGGACATTCAGGCGGTAAATGTTATTTAATACTGTTTTATTATAAACAGAGCATTTACTTAAATACTTGTATCTATAAAAAGAACGTTAAACATAAAAATGTCTTTAATAAATAAATTGTTCCTTGTCATTTCTTAATATATATATATATATATATATATATATATATATATATATATATATATATATATATATATATATATATATATATATACCATATTAGTACAAAAACGCACAATCTTAAAATTTAAAATTCAACCTCAGCGTTGGGACCGCACGCTCCAAATAAATTTCTTACAATTAACAATAACACATTTCTAAAATCATTTTTCGGATTACATATATTCTTTTGTTGTTCTGTTATTACCGGGAAGTAAAAAACAAATCCATTTCCATACCTGAGGATGTCCCTATGCAAAGATGAAAGCTTGTAAAAAACTAAGAAAAGACCTTATGCAAGTGGAATTTATAAACAGGGATCTAACATTCATCTACAGGTTCGGGGTTAATGTACTTTATTAAATTTGTTTGCGAAGATGTATTCTCGCCATTTATATCATTAACTTCTATATCTGTTTTTTGTATGAATGATTCATGTAATGTAAATTGAACTGCACCACATAATTGATATATATATATATATATATATATATATATATATATATATATATATATGTAATAATCCGTTGGTAAATAGTCCAAGTTATTCTTAATAATATAAAACATTAAAGCTGATCCACAAAAAGAGATCAATGTATTTATTATAAGAGAGCATATAAATTACATAGAATAAAAATCTTAAGTTACCTCATTCGAATAGCTATTTCGACAGACAAGACTTCCTTGTAGGCTTTGTCAATTCAGAGTCACCTAAAACAATTGCTTTATGCAGCAGACATTACTAATGCCGAGACGCTTCATCAACATGTAATGGTGGCCTGCGAAATCATTTGACACCGTGTGGGAATTTTTGAAAGGGTCCGCCAGTCAATGGTCCGACGGGTGCCCGGGTGTCTAGAAGCAAGCGGAGGACATTTTGAACATTTGTTATGAGTTGCTGTGTTGGGGTACAAGGATGGCCTTTTGGGATATATGTTTATATGAACATTTTACCTTGTTTTGGTGTCAGAAACCCACCAGCAGCGTCTACTGTAAACTTTAAACTTAATAGGTGAAAAACGAAGGACAGATGTTTATAGAATTTGCGAACTTATGTTTATATTGTGCTTGTTTTGGTGTGAAGAACCCCCAAAAAGAAAAATCGTGAAAGTATTTTTGATACATAATATATATATATATATATATATATATATATATATATATATATATATATATATATATATATATATGTAGTGCTTTAGATCGACTCGGCCACGAAGGTTATCGCCGAGTCGGTCTAAAGCTCAACAGCCATTTCTTCGGCAAAGGAGGACGTAGGTGATATATATATATATATATATATATATATATATATATATATATATATATATATATATATATTGTTCATATTTAGGCAGCAATTTTTCATTGATGCATGTATCATTAAATGATATAGACAAGTTTTGTCTATTTATTTTACGTAAATTCCTTTCATATCGTTTGATAAGTGTCCATCTGGGCATTAATTTCTGGGTATTATAAACCTAATGTCTTCAGCAACCATTTTTACTATTGCTCATGGCACAGTGAATAAAGGCGTTGGTTAGATCCAGTGACAGACCCAAAGAGTGTGAGTTCAATACCCGGTTAAGGCAGTGGAGAACTTTCAGAGGGAAATTAGCAGGAGATAACTGATAACTGACATCCATCAAACATGGCGCGTGGAACTAGAACAGTGAGTGAAATAAAGGGTTCAATTTGACATTCCAACCACCTGAAGAAGGCCGGAGCGTACAACGGCCGAAACGTTGTGATAAATATGGCGACAAAGATGAGGACAATAGTCCGAATAATGTAAATAATGTATTATTATCATTATTATTATTAGACCCACCTGAACCGGGGTGGTAGCACCTGTTAGGGTCCCATGTATGGGCAAATAGTTAAGCTGAAACTGTGGTCAAAACACTATGAAAGTGTAAAACCAGCAATAATTTTTGGGAAAAAAAAGAAGATATTGCCAGCAATACATTTTTGAAGAAAACATATTACCAGAAATATATATTTGAATATATATTTATATATATATATATATATATATATATATATATATATATATATATATATATACCAAGAATAAAAGTTTTCTCGGCATTAAATAACCCATTGAGGTTGATATGCCGTAAAACAAACCAAACCAAACCAAACCAAACTAATATATATTGCGATAGATAGATAGATAGATAGATAGATAGATATAGATAGATAGATAATAAAAAAACCAGCAATAAAAAAATCTTGTCGGCGTTAAATAACCCATTGAGGTTGATATGCCGTAAAGCAAAAAACCAAACCAAATATACAATATATAGATAGATAGATAGATAGATAGATAGATAAAACCAGCAATAAAAATCTTGTCGGCGTTAAATAACCCATTGAGGTTGATATGCCGTAAAGCAAAACAAACCAAACCAATATATACTGAGATAGATAGATAGATAGATAGATAGATAGATAGATAGATAGAACCAGCAATAAAAATCTTGTCGGTGTTAAATAACCCATTGAAGTTGATATGCCGGAAAACAAAACCAAACCAAACCAATATATACTGAGATAGATAGATAGATAGATAGATAGATAGATAGATAGATAGATAGATAGATAGATAAAACCAGCAATAAAAATCTTGTCGGCGTTAAATAACCCATTGAGGTTGATATGCCGTAAAGCAAAACAAACCAAACCAATATATACTGAGATAGATAGATAGATAGATAGATAGATAGATAGATAGATAGATAGATAAAATAGAATAAAAATCCAGCAATAAAAACCCTTGTTGATATGCCGTTAAAAAAAACCCAATATATACTGAGATTGATAGATAGATAGATAGATAGATAATAGATAAAACCAGCAATAAAAAATCTTGTCAAAACCAATATATAAAGCAAAACAAACCAAATAGATACTGAGATAGATAGATAGATAGATAGATAGATAGATAGATATAACCAGCAATAAAAATCTTGTCGGCGTTAACGCATTGAGGTTGATATGCTGTAAAACAAACCAAACCTATCATGTATCTTCACAATTTTCTGTCCTTTGAAGCTCTTAGAAATTTTTTTTAATTCCGCTATCTCTCCTAACTCCTGTCATACCAACAATTTACCTAAGCTCGTTACATAGGTTATTCGCTGATTTCCTGTCTTGCCCAAGCCTTCAATATGTCCTGTCAGTGTTAAAGTTACTAAGCCTTCTTTACAATTTTCAGCTGTCTCTTTCTGGTGTTAAGTATAAGAATCCATTTTGTTTTCCTTTTCTCTAAAACTTCGTCATCGTTCACATGTTCTGTCCATGGTATTCTCAGCATCCTTCTGTAGAACCACATTTCTATTGCCCCGAGTCTCTTCTTCATTTAGCATGAAATTGTTCATCATTCACAATTATTATAAGAGGGCCGATATTGCCTAACAATTCGGTACTCTCTTTTTTGTTTCTAAAGAGATTTTCCTGTTTCTTAATACTTCGCTTAGCTTTTGAAAGGAATCTTTCGATATTCCATCACGACTTCAGATAACGGTGTCGCATTGTCTGTCCTCTGTTAAAACATTTTCTAGATATTACAAGTCTTGTAATTGCTTGCATCGCCAATTTGTAATTCGAGTGTTGAGCTCTTTTTGCTAACAACCATATATTGTCTTCTTGCAATCGATGATTAGTCCTTTCTTCTGGCCTTCCTTTACTACATTCTGTAGGAGTTTTTGTATTTTCATTTCTGCCTGCTATTGACACTGTACGTCCGTCCGCCTCTTTATCTGTCTGTCTGTTTCTATCTATCTATCTATCTATCTATCTATCTATCTATCTATCTATCTGTCCGTCGGCCTCTTTGTCTGTCTGTTTTTGTCTACATATACATACATACATACATACATACATAATATATATATATATATATATATATATATATATATATATATATATATATATCCTCCCTCCGCCCCTTTATATATTTATATCTATCTATCTATCTATCTATCTATCTATCTATCTATCTATCTATCTTCCCTCCGCCCCTTTGTCTCTATCTATCTATCTATCTATCTATCTATCTATCTATCTATCTATCTATCTATCTCTATTTCAATCACCACATATGTATATGTTGAATTAATCTGGTGAGAAGATACATGCTTGTCTTACACCCCCAGTATATTTACTGAACTCATTTTGTATCCCTAAATACGTGGTTTGCTCCCAGTATAATATATCAAACCTCGCTAACAATTCGAACTGTTCTTTGAGACGTACTTTGCCCAATCTATAAAAGATGGCCATGCATCCTTTTGTATTTGAATTGGTCTTTGTGGTATCATTATGAGCATGAATATAGCATTCCTTATTCCAATGTCTTTGAAGAAAACGTACTAATCTTGTCTTATTTCCGGTCTAATTCTGATGCACGCTATATTAATCAGAAAGTAGATATCTATCTGTTTCTGTCTATATCAACCTGTTCTATTACCAATCTGTTATCTATTATTATTATCTATCTATCTATCCGATTTCAATCTGTTCATATTCGTCCTCTATCTCTGTCTGCCTGTCAGTATCTATCTGTTTCTGTCTATATCTATCTATCTATCTCTGTTCATCTATCTATCTATCTATCTATCTATCTATCCTCGATTTCTGTTCAATCTGTTCATATCTATCTATCTATCTATCTATCTATCTATCTATCTATTTCAATCTGTTCATCTATCTCTATCTATCTATCTATTTCTATTTCAATCTGTTCATATCTATCTATCTATCTATCTATCTATTCTGTCTATATCTATTTCAATCTGTTTCTATCTATCTATCTCTCTATTTCTATCTATCTCTATCTATCTATCTATCTCTATCTATCTATTTCAATCTGTTCAAATTCATCATTATCTATTTATCTATCTATCTATCTATCTATCTATCTATCTCTGTTCATATCTATCTATCTATCTATCTATTCTATCTATCTATCTGTTCATATCTTCATCTAATCTATCTATCTATCTATCTATCTATCTATCTATCTATCTATCTATCTATTTCAATCTGTTCATATCTATCTATCTATCTATCTATCTATCTATCTATTTCAATCTGTTCATCTATCTATCTATCTATTATCTCAGTTTTAGGATTCAATCTTATTACTGACCTTATTCGTTTATATTAACCGCCCATTAATCTGCTCGCATACTAATTTGTTACACGTTCATAAAATAAATTATTTAATAAATTACGTACTAATACCTTTGGGAAAGGCATAAATCCTCTTCTTCTTTGTAAATAGCAGGGCAGACCGGATTCTATAGCCTTGGATGGCAACTGGTTTACAGCAGAAGGAAATGGCAACCTACTGCTGGAAAAAATCTGCCTCGTCAGTCATGTATCAAAAGCCTAAGCGTTTATCACGCATGTTACATAACTGACTGAACTCTTTTATTTTAAGTTCGATTTCATTTTGTCGCATGTTATAGATCGTCGCTCTCCATAAGTCAGTAGCGTGGATTGAAAATTAAGATTAAGCCTACAGCGTAAAGACAGAAAGAACAGTGAAAAACGTTTATGAAAGATAAAAAAATAGGATGAAAGAAAGAAAGGAAGAACTGATAGAAGAAGAAGAAAGATAAGAGAAAAAATAGAGAGACAGTAAACGTTTAGGGACAAAACAATGAGAAAAAAAAGAAGAAGAAAAAAAGCAAAAAAAAATGAAGACGATAATAAAAGAAAGACGTACGAAAAAGTCGAGAAAAGATGGAAAGAAAAGAAATAAGAAGGAGTAGAAAAAAGAGTACAGTGTAATCCGGATATATGAGACCCGGATATAAGAGAAACCCGGATATAAGAGAGATTTTCTCTGGTCCCAAATTAGAGCCTGTGTTAATGTATATATAATAGACCAAACCCGGATATAAGAGACTTCTTCTCCGGTCCTGACAACTCTCTTATATCCGGGTTACACTGTATAAAAAAAGAAGAAAAGAAATAAGAAAATGAGGCAAACAAGAAACAAAAGAAAAAGAAAATGAAAAAGAAAGAAGAAGACAGTAAAGGGATAAAAGAGAGAAGGAAGAAAGAAAAAAGAATGACGAAAAAAAAAAATGAAGAGAGGTGATTTAAAAAGAAAAGAGAAGAAAAATACAGAAAGAAGAGAGTGAAAATTAGGAAAAAGAAAGACGAAATTGGGGAAAAAAAATGGAAGAAAAAGGGAATAAATAAAGAAAAAATAAGCCAGAGAGAAGAGAAAAAATAATAATAAAAAAGAACGGTAAAGAAATAAAAGATAGAAAAAGAAATCAACGAATGGGAAAAGAAAGAGAAAAAGAAGGAAAGACAAAAGAGAAGGAGAAAATGAAAGAAAAAGAGAAGGGGAAAAAGTAGAACGAGAAAAAGAAAGAGAATTAAAATGTGAAAAAGAAAGAAAGAAACAATGGGATCGAAAGAGAGGAAAACGAAAGAAGAAGAAGAGAATAAGGAGAAAAATAACAGCAAGAGGGTAAAAGGTGAAAAGAAGCAGGCAAATAAAGAGAAGGAAAACAAAAGGGAAGAGAGGTAGACGAAAGAAGAAAGAGAAAAGAGAAATATAGAAAAATGAAACTAAGAGAAGAAAAAGAAAAAGAAATAGAAAAAGAAAAGAGACTAGAAAACGATAAGAAAGAAAGAAAGAAAGAAAGAAAGAAAGAAAGAAATGTGTTGGCGAGGAAAACGGTCTTGCCAAAAAGAACCTTTGAAAAAAAATGAGAGGTAGGAAAAAGAAAAAAGAAAAGAAAGAAAAAATATAGTTAAAATGCAAGTGAAAGAAATAGAAAAAGAAAAGAGACCAGAAAAGAATAAGAAAGAAAGAAAAAAAAAGAAAAAAAAAAAAAAAGAAAAGAAAGAAAGAAAAAGAGGAAAACGGTCTTGCCAAAAGAAATATAAAAAAAATGAGAGTAGGAAAAAGAAAAAAGAAAAGAAAGAAAAATATAGTTAAAATGCAAGAAAGAAATAAAAAAAAGAGACCAGAAAAAGATGAGAAAGAAAGAAAAAAGAAAAAAAAAAAAAATGAAAAAATGTGTTGGCGAGGGTCTTGCCAAAAAAGGAAATATGAAAAAAAAAATGAGGGGAAAAAAAAAAAAGAAAAAGAAAAGAAAGAAAAAATATAGTTAAAATGCAAGTGAAAGAAATAGAAAAAGAAAAGAAACCAGAAAAAGATAAGAAAGAAAGAAAGAAACAAACAAAGAAGCAAAGAAAGAAAGAAAGAAAGAAGAAAAACAGATAGACAGACAGTCAGACAGAAAGGAATCTTGAGTGGGCGAGTAAAACGATCTTGCCCGAAATGGAAAAGAAAAAAAAAAAAAAAAAAAAAAAAAAAGTAAAAGAAAAAAAAAAAGGACCTTTGTCCACATGCCTCAGTAGTGTGATCTATTTATCAAAATCAACTTAGACGCGAAAAAAAAAAATACTAAAAAATCTCAGGGTGACCTCAATCGCTACCCACAGCCACTCAATATTTACAAATATTTTTTTCCTGATTTCCTGGTGCTAGATTCCCGTAGTACCTCACCCGCTCTTCCAAACCGACGATTGGAACCAACCACCACCCTCCCCCAT